ACGTGTAATGAAATCTGTATATGTGAGCACAACGATATCTTGAATTTAAAGCATATTGATTAAGAGTGTTAAGTATATTAAGCACCAATCCTGTCCATGCCAATATCTAAGTTTAATTTAATTCCGCGTTTATACTTTTCTTTATACTTTATACATTACTTCATGCGTTTTCATATTTTCATAATAGACCTTGGCTGACATGTCTAGGAATTATGATATAATTCATAAAATGATACATATTATATTGTATTCTGCTTTAGGAATATCACGTTTACTCAGTAGAGAAACGAAGTTGGTAATCAAAATTGCCCACTATACTCAAGAGATTGTAGTTGCTAATGTGTCATCCCAACACGTAATGTAATATGATATGTTGTTGGGAGCAATTTGTTAATACATACTATAATGTATATGTAAATTATGTTTATAGTATAGCTAACATGCATGCTTTATGATTCAAATTTTGCCAAGCGACTGATACTGAGATTCTTGTACACTCTGAGATCGTGGTAACGCCCCTGTAGTTCTCTAGTTGAATCTGTAAGACAGTAAATACACATATTTAGTACCACATGCAGATCCGTGAATGTCTACCTATTTCAATACAAACAAATATTATGTTTTCGCAAAAGCTTAAATAAGATGAAATAAGTGCGACTCTTGGTTGGAATAATGAATTGAGATTCAAATTACATTGATATAGGCAGTATTACGCACATGTGTATAATAATTTTAAATTGTTATTGATACCTTTTAGAGTTTAAAATATGTTTTACCTCTGGTTTCAATCGGCTTAGTGTTGGGTGTTCATGTTTGCATTGAAGACTTGGCGACATTACTATTAAAAATAATAGAGATATCAGAAATTTAATTATTTTAAATTACATGATTTTGAATACCACTAGGCCATACTCAGTTGTTGTTTTGTACTTTTGACTTATAAATGATAATCAACATTTCGGTACACTTTGGTATAAATATGAGTACATTTGCCAGATGATCACGTATGATATAATTGAAATTCAATTCTGAATGAGGGTGGAATCCACAACTGTATAATGTTTTGCACTACAGTTCAATTAATTTTGCCGAGAATGGAATCCACACAGCAGCGCAATGTATTCAAGATGATATGCCACCGATCATATAATACTTGTACTTACCAATACTCGTTCAATTTTAACTGCTCGTAATTGTTTTCTTGGACGTCTCTTATGTCTTGATAGTGGTTATTCTCTTTTTTGTGGATGTCCTCGTAATCTGTAATTGAATTGCACCAACCAACTTATGTTGTACATTAACTTATGTTGTACATTAACTTAACTTATATGTAATATATTGTTTGTATGTGATCAGAACAAATATTGTACCTCTCATTTCTCCCGACTCGTTCCCAGCATGGGCAATATCGTGTGTCTCGATCCTAAACAGTATACAAACAAAACAAGCATATATATATCACTTAGTGCAACAAAGCCATCATACATTTCAGGAAAAGTTAAGGGAAATAAATCTTACTTTTTTGTTCACATTATATGACATTATATTATTATATATTCGATGAACGTCCGCACGTGTAATTAACTGAAGTGAAATGCGATTACCTTTCTTTGTGTTTATTACGGGATTTCAAACGACATATTAGATATAATAACAATACGCCAATGACAATTGTAACAACTACACCACCAGCGAAACCTCCTATAAACATGGGTATTTTATTCTCTCCTTCTGAAAATCTATTTGAGTTATCGCCAGCTAGAAACAATACATTTTAATACATTAAATATAATTCAGGATATTGCAAATTGACTTGCATTGTTAGTAACGTAATGTTGCTATCTAAAATAGAATCAATAGTACTTTCATTTATGTCCGCTCGCACTATACAATTTTTCTGAACAATGATTATTACCTGTAAACGAAGTCAGCTGTCTGTCATGTAACATCAGCACTTCTTCCTGCATCGCAAATAAATAAAAATATGACTAACAGATCAATGATCGAACCCCAAAATAGATGGCAAAAATACAACAAATATGTATATTATTTGTGAACATCTGAATATTAATTGATATATTTATATAATCAAGGGAAACAATAAAATGCTTACGAAGCATTTCGTAGTGAGATAACAAAACTTACAGTTATTTTGTTTAATTTGCTGATACATTTCTGCAGACTATACTTGTAGCTGTTCTGTAAAAGTCACTTCTGCATTAATGTTATTCATTGGTTTATTGGAGGAACCGTTCATTCCCAAACCATCCCTCACAAAAACCTGATCGGGGATTTTATGTAATGGCAATGACGCTTCATTATACAGATTATCTTACCCCTGTAGTATTCACTGTAAACCCATCATATACGACATATTGTTGTCCAGGTGTTAATGGTTTATTGATATAATCATTATATTCCATACCATCACCTACTATAAGTAGATCAGGGATTGCATTCAATGGAAATGATGCTGTAATATACTGGTTATATTCTAAATCACGTTTTAGTTTCTGCCTCGTTTCTTCAGCAACAACAATGTAACTCCTAAAATGTGACGAAAATAAACAAAGAATTGAGCTCAAGGCAATTAACAATTTGGAAAAGATTTTGAATCAAAATGTATGCACCCCCAATATAAAGTGTTATCTAATAAATATGTTATTGTCAATGATATAGCTGTATGTGACTGAATTAAGACTTACGAACACAAAGTTAAATCTAGTCTCTATGACAACTGTGGACAATGTATGTCAAGGCACGTTTGAGAAATGATTATGGATGCATACAACCAACATGTTGCATCAAATCAGTCCAGTCATGACTGATAAATGAATTGTCAAAAATTACCTGGTTGGCAGGTCGTCAGTTTAAAATGATAAACAAATCAAAATGCATATGTTCTATATAATATTATGTCTTGTCGTTGTCACTACTTAAAACACAATCGTTCCCGGAATATGTTCATCTTTGACTGTAAATGTTGGTCTTGTTTCAAGGAATGCAAATTACAATTAGTCGGCAATTGCCCCTGCTAGATAACAGTTAATTGTTTTATAGCCGAACAATCAAGTAACTTAAATACACACACTTAAGCTAGAAATATAACTTAGAGGAGTGAACAAACGCAAATGATTACTCTCTTATACAACAAATGTTGGCACTTCCTGCTAAATTGCTAAAAGCTGGCTTTGGTATGTAACGTTTTTTAATCTACCCATTACTGGACTTGTTCAACAACTTTTAGACTTGTAAGTGGATGTGCCTTGTTTGCCATACGCATATTCAGAGTGTGAATATTGAACCTTACAAAACCTTGAGAGCTCTTAGACAGAACAATGGTCAGTGGGGACATTGATTTATGGTTTGTTAATGTCTGTTCTATTTTTTATTTCTTTTTTTACTAAAACAATATGTTGGAGGAATTGACGTAATTATATAAATATGCGCAATTGTAATCTATCTAATTATTATTGGTTATCAATGGTTCTTGAATCTGTGCATTAAAACTATTGAGTGAGGGAATAATACATGTTAAGTGGATCCTTTGTACCCATTTCAAGTCATTTGGCATAAGTAAACCCTGTTGAATGAGGACCAACACGAGTATACGTTAGGAAATTTTATCCACAAAAACGTAAACATATTCAATCTATGTTACTTCATTCAAATTGATAACACTCGTAATATTGTGATGCACGTCATTTTGTTTCGACGTAATTACTCTGATATGTTTGCTTTGACTGACCAATATTGGTATTCACATCACTCATTGCATGTTACTGTTTCACACTTTGTTTTGCTTTGTGTTTTTTATTATTTTTACCATGCTCAAAATAAAGGGATGGCCTCTGAAACAATGTATAACAAAGTTCATAAACCATATAATGGTTTATTACAGATACAAA